AGCTTATGATCATGTTAATTGGAAGTTTGTTTTGTATCTTCTTCGGAGGATGGGATTTGGTGATAGATGGATAAAATGGATTGACACTTGTATCTCATCAGTTATGTTTTCTGTTCTTGTGAATGGCTCTCCTGCGGGTTTTTTTGCTAGCTCACGTGGTCTGCGACAAGGTGATCCATTATCTTCTTTTCTTTTTCTCATCGTTATGGAAGGTCTGACTAGATTAATGAGAAAAGCGGAAGATTTGGGTTACATTAGGGGGTTCAGAGTTGGCAGAGATGTTGATCATCAGATCCAGATTTCCCATCTTTTATTTGCTGATGATACTTTGGTATTTTGTGATGCTGATATTTCTCAACTCAGATATCTGAGGTGCACTCTTACTTGCTTCCAAGCAGTTTCTGGGCTTAAGATTAATGTCGGAAAGAGTGTGCTTGTTCCAGTGGGGGATGTTCCAGATATTTCCTCCTTAGCTGCTGTTTTAGGGTGCGGAGTTGGTTCTTTTCCTCTTCCTTATTTAGGATTGCCTTTGAAAGTTTCTTCTACTCTGGTTGGGAATTGGGACTCAGTGATTAATAGATATGAGAAAAGATTAGCAGGATGGAAAAAGCAGTATCTATCTAAGGGTGGGAAAGTCACACTTATAAAGAGTACTCTTTCATCCCTTCCTACCTATTTTTTGTCTTTGTTTCAAATTCCATGTTCTGTTGCTGATAGAATTGAAAAAATTCAGAGGGATTTTCTGTGGGGTGGAAGGGGAGAGGAGTTTAAGTATCATCTTGTTAATTGGGATCAAGTTTGCCAACCATTGAGATTCGGAGGGTTCGGCATTCGAAAAATTGTTCCTTTTAATCGTGCTCTCTTAGGAAAGTGGTTATGGCGATTTGGAAGGGAACGACATCGTCAGTGGAGAAGAGTTGTCTCGTGTCGTTTTGGTGAGGGGAGTGGGGGTTGGTCATCTCTTCCAGTTACTATTACGGGAGGCGTTGGTTTGTGGAAATTTATTCGGAAGGGATGGGATGTTTTCTCTACTCTTATTAGATTCAAAGTTCGTAATGGCAGGCATGTTCGTTTTTGGGAGGATCTTTGGTGTGGCGACCAGTTGCTTTCACACTCATTTCCTAGGGTTTATAGCATTGCAACTAATAAGCATGTTTTCGTGATTGATTGTTATCATCTTGATAACAATGGAGTTACGTGGGATGTGCGGTTTAGGTGGTCTTTTCAGGATTGGGAAATGGAGGAAGTTTCTGCTTTTTTGGATATTTTGTATAGGCAGAAGGATATTGGCAGAGGGTGTGATGATATTTTGTGGGTTCCTTTGGCTCATGGTCGGTATGATGTCCGCTCTATGTTTATTCATTTATCCAATTTCGTTGGTTCCGAGTTTCCTTGGAAGTCCGTGTGGTGCTCTAAAGCCCCTCTTCGAATCGCGTTCTTCGCTTGGACAGCTACATTGGGGAAGATTTTGACTTTGGACAATTTGAGAAAGAGAGGCAACATCATTGTTAATTGGTGTTGTTTATGCAAAGACGATAGTGAATCCGTGGATCATATTCTTTTGCATTGTCCTGTGGCGTTTGGTTGTTGGAGTTTTATTTTCAGCATTTTCGGCATTTTTTGGGTAATGCCTAAGAACTCTTCTCAGTTGATTAACGCTTGGAAAAGCTGTCCTGTTAAGAAACAAGCTCGTGCTTATTGGAAGATTGTTCCTCATTGTGTCTGGTGGTGTTTGTGGCGTGAGAGAAATAACAGATCCTTTGAAGGAAAAGAATCGTCCTTAGCTAATTTAAAAATTCATATTCTTCGTTCTTTATTCTTTTATGTTAGAGGAAGTACATGCTCCTCGATTGATGATTTCTTTGATCTCTTGGATTCTATTGGTCCTTAGATCTTTTCTCTTGTATTAAGGATGCGTTCCCCTTTTGAACGTTTTTCTAATATATTTTTACTTATCAAAAAAAAAAAAAAAAAAAAGTCTTATGAATTCGATAAGCAACGGGTTCCCTTGGAAGGCTGTTTGGAGGACTTCAGCTCCAATAAAGGTGGCTTTTTTCATGCGGACAGCGGTGCTAGGCAGCATTCTTACTTTGGATAATCTCAGAAAAAGACGCCAAATAATAGTTAATTGGTGTTGCATGTGTAAGAAGGCGGGGGAATCGGTTAATCATCTCTTGCTGCATTGTAGAGTGGCAGCGGATGTTTGGAGTCTGATGCTGAATGTTTTTGGGGTGGAATGGGTAGTGTCAAGTAACACGATGGATATGTTAGAAGCTTGGAGAGGGAGCCGAGTGGAAAGTTGGGTTAGGAAGGCGTGGAGGGTTGCTCCTCTTTGTATTTGGTGGGGGTTGTGGCATGAGAGGAATAAGAGATCTTTCAAAGGACAGGAGTCATCGGTGTGGGTTATCAAGGTGAATATCTTTATTCTTGCCATCTGTAGATAGTTTTTTGGATTTTGTTGACAATTTACCGTTGTATTGATGCGTTTGCGTTTTTGTTTTGTTTGCTTTGTTAAGGGTTCGCTCCCCTTTGTTTTGTTTGCTTTGTTAAGGGTTCGCTCCACTTTGAGCGTGTTTGTTAATATATCTTTACTTATCACCAAAAAAAAAACCCTAATAGGAGATGAGAATCTCAAACATGTGGTAAGGTTGTGTTGTAAGTTCGATTGCTTTATCATTTATTTCTAAGAACATAAACAAAACTTCCTTGAAGTAAAATGTTTATGAAGCTAGTAATTTTATGATATGCATCGGTGCAATGAAATCACATATTTTAAGTTATAATATATATATTATCTTCACAAAATCCAATTTTGAATGTTAGTGCTTCCATAGCATCTAAAGGAACAGGTGATATCAAGAGTTAGATAGCTTAGATTTCAAAGTACATTATCAAAAAGAAAAAATAAATGATGAATGTTAGATATGGAGGAATAAATATTAGATACAAATATATAATTTTCGTAAACATTACTATCTTCCGAATTTTCTTTTCTTCGTATTAAAGATAATAGTACGAGTCAGTGCAATCTAATGTAGAGTTGCGCAAGGTCCATGATCTAGACCTAGATGGGGAGTGAACAGGTCTTGCGCTAGTTTAACTAATTTTAACTAAATCTTGAATTTTTAATTAAATTACCGAAATTTCAATTTCAAATTGTAAGTAAATATATATAAGAAAAACACTATTCAATCCATCATGTCAATCAATCATGCAATAAAATTTTAAGCAATAAAGCATAAAATATGGACAATACATTAAAAACCGAACTGGAAAAAAACTAAGGGACCTTGTCTAGGCAAACTAAAGCCACTATGAGAGCAAAATTTACAACTGGGTTAAAGTTTCCAAACCCTAGAACCCCTAGTTACCTCCTACACAAATCAATCCACCAAACTCTCCACTCTAGTCCTCAGGTACAGTCTGCTCAACAAACTTCGCTCCTTAAGAATCTTCTTCTCCAACCAGTGATTCAATGTCCAACAACTAATCGTCCGGCACAGTCTCCGTTGAATAGATTGTTGTTGGTGTTGGACATCTCAATTTAGTTCCGCAACAATGATGTAGTTAACAATCTAGGAACACACTCACTGATTCTAACGCAATTGATGATCAAAAAAATATCTCTTTCTATGTTCTGTTTGTGTTTGTGATTTGACTAGAGTAGTATATTTATAGGTAATATATATATATATATGTTCCCCTTTTGAACGCTTTTAATACAATTTACGTATCAAAAAAAAAAAAATATATATATATATATATATATATATATATATATATATATATATATATATTTGGAATGATAAGCAAGTATAGGCAAAATATTAGTATAGAAAGAGTAGGGTTTTTGTTTTTCAGTGTTTTAATTTGAAAATGAAACTGAAAACTTGGACAGCTCGTCAATCGGGGAGCAGATTGATTAATCGATACAAAACCTATTGCTGATTTATAGTAATAAAATTTTTGAATAAGAAGTTACCAAGAACACTTTTATATGCTTATCAAATAGAAATGTCCAAATCAAAACAAGAAATCTCAAAAACCCTAATGCATGAACCCTAATTTTGGTTAGTGCATTAGAGTGTCACATTACCTTTATACCCTTGGTGTAGAAAAAATGCTTTTATCCTTGGTAGAAGCTTGAATATACTTCTTCAACAATGACCAAAAGGTAACTACCATGACACTAACATTCAAAATCTAACTAAACCCAAAAGAAGAACAAAATTACAGAGACTAGTTGTGATTCATGAAATTTGCCAACATGACCTAAAAAGTAGTTAACAGGATTATTTATATGACATCAATGATTAGGAGCACATTTAAGTGATAAATCACTCAAAACATATAGCAAATTTTAGATTATTAGTTTCAAGCAATTTGACTGTCAAACTAACCTTTGTGGAAGGCAGGAGCCTGGTATTGGTTTATGGGTGAACCCCTTTGTTGGGCTAGGTGGGTTAGGGGTGAACTTGAAAACCAACCTTGTTGACAAAACAGAAGAATCAAGTGGACAAGCTATGGTTTCCACAGTTAAATTTTTATTAAAGGCGTGGACAGCTAAAAATAGATTTAGCGCAGCCATTTTTTGTCATTTATTCTAAAAGATGCATCACAGTTCCAAACTCAACTTAGGATAGTAAGAGAGTGGAACGCAAGATGAAGTGATACAAAATCGTATTTTTCTTGCAGTAAGTTCCAAGATGACTATAGACAATGGAGACATCCAACGGTAAACAAGTTATGAACAAACATTTTTAGAAATGACTTCATTTACTGGATTCTTAAATACCTTTATTTAATTTTTTATTTTTTTTCATAAATGGAGGTGGATTTCAAAAAACTTGTTTTTTTGTTTTTCTTTTAAATAGAAAGAAATAAATTCCCACTAAACGCTATTTACAAAGAATATGTAATGATCAATGGATGTCAAAAGCTTTCCAAATAACTAAAGTGGCATAGTCTATTCTAGAAACTCTTGAGGAAGGGTAACTTACAATCCTACTCCTCTTTGACTCTTCGTCACTATCATTCAAGTCATCTCCTGCAGCTTTTCTGGCAGAATAGAAGTAAAGAATTATGTCAAATTTGTTGGTATAGATAAAATAACGAGTGGGAGGGAAAAAAACGTATAATAAACAAAATTTTCTAACCTTCTCTTTGGCATGGTTCGATCCTCTGAAGCAGCATCAGAATGACCATAGTCAGGAACCTTGCTAACAATTTCCCTCAGAAAATCGAACACATTATAGCTTTGAACACAGTGTTTTCTGCAGTTCAGATACGGAACTTTGTTGGATCAAATTTAACATTAGGAATAAAGATATATATATATATAGAAAGAGAGTGGAAAAAAAGGATTACCCCAAATTAATGGAAGGAAAAGGAGAAGCATGACATACATCATCTTTAGAAAATAAAGGCCAAAATAGAATGCAACCAGATCGCAGATCTAGCTAAAATGAACAGGATTGCAATGTAAGAAACAACATTTCTCAGTTTAACTTGTTCAGCGGATTATCTTGTAGCAAGGGTTAATAGTAAAATGGAATCCGGTATTATTATTATTATATTTTTTTTTCTCACATAGAACCATTAATAGATCACACCACTATGAGCGAAAAGTCGCAAGGTATGGAAGAAACCACCGAGTGAATATTCTATCCCTTGCACTTTGAAAGTGTAGTTATATATATATATATATATATCTTGAGGGGAAAAAATAAAGCCTACACAATTAACTTGTTAAAACTACTCTTTCACATGTTTTTTTCAGCATGTATGGTACTTTTGCTGAAATGGCATGATCAGGGTGCTAGATATTCTCCCAGGCATGCTAACATGTGTACTTCTGATCAAACAATGTCTTGGCATGGCAATTATTGTTCTACACTTGATCCACACACATCAAATAGTATGTCCAAATCAACCAGATCAAATATATTTGATATAAGAATGAAGGGAAGAGTGAAAAAGTAACTAAAATTACAAGAAAAAAATGTAATAGAGGTATAGTTTAATTGCAAAACAGAGGTAATAATAGAAATGATAATGATCTAAAGTAATTCATAATTGTTGGGAAATTATATTAGGCCAACACTGTTATTACAAGAAAAAAATAGACAGATTTAACATAGAAAACGATTTATAGAAACATATGAACCTTCATTTTTATAAAAAACAAAAAACATGTTGGCAAAGGCACTCTCAAAATTAAATTTTTAGCAGAAAATTCTACTACAGAAATCAAAACGAAATTTGTTAAATGTAATTCTGAAAATAAGATGCTCAAATAGGAAATCTAAACTAGCTGATGAAGTATTAATACAATTTTATTTTTTGAAAAAAAAAAAAAAAAGATGTTTAGACCAGTTGGCATTACAATAAAATCATGAGAAAGAATGAAAGTGAAAGATTACAAATCATAGAAAAAAATGGTCCTAAGGCGCGCACACTACCTCAATTTTTAATTGAACCACATTAATTAGCCAAAACAATAAAGAGTTGTATAAAATTCACTTACAAATGCAAGGAACTAACAGTCTTTGCTCCTCTCTGAAGGGTTATATCATACGTACGATCACAAAGGTCTTGCAAAAATAATTCCAATGCTTTAGCTGCATTTTGGAAATGATAAGAGCTCATAAGATTTATACCAACAAACTCTAAAGGCTAAAAGATTAACCAGTAATAGTACTCACAAACTAAAACAGGCACTGCCATGGCAATCTTTCCAACATCCTCATCAGCTTGCATTATCTTTTTAATCCGAGCCTGACAAGTAATAATATTTCCCATTAGAAAACAAGGATAAATTAAGAAAGACTTCATTCACTAAGAAAACATAATACATGAAGAAATACAAATTTAAATGTATTTATCCTTTCTCGTTTACCATGAAAGCAAGCATCAAGCTTCCCATATCATTTTCCATGCACTCACCTCCCATATTAAGGATATACTGAGGTCTCTAGAAAATAATTACAATTGTATGGGCCACAACGGTATAGCAAGTAGTTGAAAGTTTGTAGGACTGGAACCCAAGGCTCTAATGGAGAGTCACGCAAGGGCCGTGATCTAGACCTACAAGGGTTGAATGGGTCTTGTTGATTGGATTAGTTAATTTTAACCATTTTTTTAAATTTAAAAAAAAAAATTACTAGAAAGTTAAATTCAAATCATAACAAAAAAAACTAAAGTCTACTCAATCCACCATCCAATAAACCTTGCCTTGGAAAAAAAAAAAAAAAAAAAAAATCATTCATCCAATAAACAAGAAAAGCATTGAGAAGAATGAAATTTCAAGATAAGAATTAAGCCAGACTCAACCCCAAGGGGTTGGCTCAAGTGGGTAGGTCAGTTTGCCCTAGTGCCTTAGGAAGCATTAGAAAACCGGATCTTATGGATAAACCCCCCGTTCCCCTTTCTCTAATAATAAGGTAAGCTCGTTGGATCCTCCTCATCCTTAAAACTAAAAGATAGAGTTATAAACAATGGACACAGATTTTAAACGTGAAACCCCCAATTGAGAACACCACAGGACCTAGTCCAGGCAAAACCATATCCACTATGAGGAAGAGATATCACAACCTTTTCCCAAAACCCTAGAAATCCCTACTCACCTCTTAACACAGATCGATCCACCAAACTCTTCTCGAGCACAAATATTTGTCAATAGACTTTCAATCTTTGTTTACTGAATTGATGATGGTGTTAAACTCTTCAGATGAAATCCGCAGTGGTAGATGTCAACACTCAATAAAACACTCACCACTACTAAGAATGATATGCAAAGAAAAACATGTTCACTCGAACTCACAGATATGCCCTCTCTATATACTATAGATAAATATTCTCGGTATATTAAAGTCCGCCTAAGAGCAGTATTTATATAGGCAAAGTAGAAGTTTATAGAGAGTAGGGTTTTTAGTGTTTGAAAAAAAACAATTTTTTTTTTTTTTTGATAAGTAAAAAGTATATTAGAAAAGCGTTCAAAAGGGGAACGCGTCCCTAATACAAGAAGAAAACAGACATAAGGACCAATAACATCCAAAAGATCAAAGATATCATCAAGGTTTTTAGTGTTTAAATTAAAAAGGAAAACTGAAATTTTTGCACTGCTTGATTGACCAGGAGCTGGTTGATCGATCAAAACAACTCCAATGACCCTCGATCAATAGCTCAATTGATTGAAGTCTACTGTAGTTTTATACTTGGAAAACTTCTTAAAGGAAGTTTCCAGAAACACTTATATGCATATCAAAAGGTATTTTATGATTGAAATCAAATTGAGTGTCACTAGAAACCCTACTGAATATATGCATGAATCCCGATTAGGTGAGTGCATCGAAGTGCTAAATTACCTTTTTACCCTTGGTGTAGAAGATTACACATTTACCCTTGTATGTAGCTTGACTTTTTTCTTTAACTATACGCAAGAGATAACAACTAACACTAACTTTCTTTTGAAATTTCTAGTCTAAACTAGAAATCAAAAACAAAAGTTACAAGACTCCAGTTTTGATCTACAAAATTTACCAACCTAAGTTCTATGAAACTAATAATAGTAAACATGACCAAGTAACCAGGTCACTAAATTACCACTGCCACTTTTAGTATTGAACACTATCACTGCGTTCTGGGCCCAGAACAATAAATTTTCCAAAACAATGCAGCATATGCAACAAAATTCTTCAAAATTCAAATCCTCCAAAACATAATTTTCAGATATATAAGCATTTTGTCATCTAACCTACGTGACAAAAAGAAAAAGAAAGTATTTTTAAAAAGCCTATGTAACATTAGAAAAAACTTCTGGAAAAACATCAAAAAAGTTATTACCAAAAAAGAACCAAAAGGAAAAAATATTACTAAATGACTAGAGGAAACAAGACGACTCATAGTTTGAGATGATACAGCACCTAAATCAGTCATACAAGTAAAGAGATCTAGCTATTCATCGATAAGAAAAAGAAAACATAAACGGGAATTTGAATTATGATAAAATAGAATGACTGCAAATATATATATGAAACAATAATATTGAATTAGTGTTTAGTATAAACATTTCACTCATTTTGAAACAACAGTGTATAATAAAATTGAATTATTTGATATATTTTTTAGGCGCATGTCCAACCAAGCATCAGACACATAACCCAAAACCATGTTTGAGTATTGTGTATCCAACCCGAGTATAGAGTCAAACTAATGTCCAAGATGTGCACAAAATTATCCTAATTCACATAGAAAATACTTTGGAAAATGTACCAAAAGGAAGCAATTAGAATCAGGCTTGAACGAGAAAGGTCTTCAAAATGTTCCAGTTGGCAAGGCACTGTGAAGAAATGTACCGATAGGAAACTCAAATCAACCCGTGGTTCGTCACTGGAGTAGAATGAAACGATAGAAAACCAAAATGAACCGCTAGCCATTACTTACCAACTCAAACCAAAGAATATACGAGCAAATGCTAAGGTGTTCCCCTTAAGCGACACATTGCATGAGCTTCCGTATACTTCGTAAAATAGGAAAGTGGAGACGAATCAGCGCCCGGGTGTGATAAAGAGTAGGTAAGGGTTAGCATGCTTTCCTAGACTAGCACGAGTAAAGAAGTTAGACCAAATTGTAGACTTAGGATAAGGCCTTGGAATATAAGAACATTGCCAGAACAAGGAATGGAGTTGGTGGACACTATGACTAGAAGGAAGGTTAATATAGTATGTGAATGTCTACAAGGAATTAAGTGGGTAGGAGGAAAAACTAGAGAAATTGAGAACACATGATACAAACTTTATTACACTGGAAAAGATAGACATAGAAATGGAGTAGGGAAAATCATTGATAATAATTTAAAAGAAATCGTAATTGTTATTTGAAAAGAAGATAATATTAGTAAAACTTGAATTAGGAGAAAATATAGTTAATATAGTGACCGTCTATGCACCCTAAGTAGGACTGGATGAACACATTAAAGCACAACCTTGGGAGCATATGGATGAGTTAATTAAAAAGGATACCCAAAGGAGAAAAATTATACATAGGAGGAGAATTTAATGGTCATGTAGGAAAAGATTGTGGAGGGTATGAAATAGTGGTTGACAAGGATTTGGAAATAGAAATGATGTTAGGGAGACCATCTTAGACTTTGCAGTGGCATAAAATCTAATAATTGGAAATACCAATTCTGAAAAGAAAAACATTTAATAACCTTTACAAGTGGATCAAATATGAGCCAAATCGACTACTTTCTAACTAAAAAGACAAATCGATTAACAAGCAAATATTGTAAGGTTAACCATGAGAGAATTTAACATCACAACATAGCTTACGAGTTTTAGATGTATATATAAAGGGGCAGTGTAGAAGGAGAAATAGAATATAAAGCCAAGAACAAAGAGGTAGATTTCAAGACGGAAAAATTAGAATTATTTAAAAATATGATGCTAAAAGAAGTAAAATAGAATATAGAAGATGAAACAAACTTAATATGGAATAGAATGACTGAATGTAATAAAATAATATCAAAAGATGCCTTCAGCGAATCAAAAGGAATAGGACCGTTATCTAAGAGAACTTGGTGGTGGAATGAACAAGTCAAAAACATCGTAAAAACAAAATGGGAATACTATCAAATTTGGCAAAAACTAAAAATAGAGAAACCTTTGAAAAATACAAAATTGTTAAAAGAAAGTTAAAAAAGTAGTCAGAGGCCATATATAGAGCACATGGTCATTTCTCTTCTAAATTAGGCGCAAAAGATAAAGAAAGTGATATATACAAACTAGCTAAACTAAGGAAGAAGAAAACAAGAGATTTTATACATATTAAATGCATCAAGAGTGAGGATTTAAGGGTTCAAAAAAAAAGATGTAGGGTCGGCGCAAAATACACATTAAAGAAAGATGCAGGGTTGGCACAAAATAATTGGAGGCCAAAGGTGAAAATTTTGAACTAGGCCTCCAAAACCACAACCTCCATGTCACTTTTACCATGTCAAGTTCTTCTTTTTTTTTTCTTTTTTTTTTTTTTTTACCTTTTTTCTTTGGGTAAGTTCCATTTACCATCATGACATCTTACGTACATCACCTCGTAGACTCATTATATTAAGACATTTTTCATCACTCCCTCCACATATTTGCACAAACTATAACACATCTGAGCTCTCACTCTTGTCTAGCCAAACACCACTACACTAAAAATAATAATTATAGACACTAATTCACAAAAATCACACATATATAGAGACAATTAAACTAACACAAATCATACACCATGCCCATCCAAAAACTGACCAACCACTAGAACATTGATTGGATCATAATACACTAGTATCATTTTTTATTTTTTATTTTAAAACATTCTCGAGGATAATGGAAATTATTTAAAAACTATCTCAATAACCTGTAGAAACACAAGTAAAGTTTACAAAAAAGATAACTAATTATTTTTTGAATAATAATAATTGCAATTCTTGTCATTCGAAAGTGCACGGGTTTAACTCCTTATGGTTATGGGGAGGAATCTTAAGAATCATTAAATCTATTGAAAGTTTTCAGCTTTCAATATCAACTCGCTTGAAGATCTCACTTTTCTTTGTTTAATCGAATACAATGAAGAAAGTATTAACTATTATTTTTATTATTATTTTTATTTCTTGACATTCTTAAGGGTACTGGAAAGTATTTGAAATTATCTCAATAACCTGTAGTAACACAAGTAAAGTTATAAGAGAGATAACTAATGATTTTTTGAATTCTATTAATTGCAACTTC